TGGGGGGAGGCCTAGATAGCCCGGCAAAGGCTCCAGTCCGCTTTTTGCCTCCGACTGCTGGCTCCTTCCCCACCCGCCGTCCCTCGCCCCGCCCCGCCCCGCCCCCCACCTTGGGGCAGGTGAGCGGCGGCCAATGGGCGAGCGCGGGGCAGGTGCCGGCTAACTCGCGCCTCGCAGCGCAGCGGCCGAGGCTGAGCTGGGCAGTGCTGGGAGGACCGGGGGCGGGGGTCTGTCCTGGCTGGACTCGGGAGGGAGGGGGCCGGGCTCAGCCCCCAGGCCATAGAGGCAGCTCGCAGCATCGCACGGAACCCGCGCCAGTGCCCGCGCCCGGAGCTGCCCGCTCGGCCCCAGAGGCCGGCGCGCCTAGCTGCGCGCCGTGGCCCGACTCCGCGTTCGCTCGCTCTCACGCCCCTCGCCTCTCCGCGCCTGGCTCGCCGGCAGGGTCTGAGCGCGGGCGGGCGGGCGGGGGAGGTGAGGGGTGCTGGTGTGTGTGCATGTGCCTGGCTGGGTGCACACCCCGCACGGCGGCGGCGCCAGGACGCGGAGCGCTCCCCGGAGCCCGGCTGCCTCGCTCGGCTCTGGCGACCGCGACCATGTTCCAGCCCACAGCCAAGCGCGGCTTTACCATCGAGTCCTTGGTAGCCAAGGACGGCGGCACCGGCGGGGGCTCTGGCGGCGGGGGCGCCGGCTCCCATCCCCTGGCGGCGGCCGCCTCGGAGGAGCCACTCCGGCCCACGGCGCTCAATTACCCTCACCCCGGCGCGGCCGAGGCGGCCTTCGTGAGCGGCTTCCCCGCTGCCGCCGCCGCCGCCGCCGCCGCCGCGGGCGCCGGTCGCTCGCTATACGGTGGGCCCGAGCTTGTGTTCCCCGAGGCCATGAACCACCCCGCGCTGACCGTGCACCCGGCGCACCAGCTGGGCGCCTCCCCGCTGCAGCCCCCGCACTCCTTCTTCGGCGCCCAGCACCGGGACCCTCTGCACTTCTACCCCTGGGTCCTGCGGAACCGCTTCTTCGGCCACCGCTTCCAGGGTGAGTGCCCATGCTGTGCCCGCTTAGGCGGCCGGCCAGCGCCGGCGCTGCGGTGGCGCGGGGGAGGCTCGGGGGCGTGCGGGGCTGTTCAGAAGTTGTTGAAACAAGGCTGTGGGGTCCGCAGAGGCCGATTCCCAAACGGGGAAGAGCCGCGCCGGATCCATATGCGCTCCTGGGGCGTTGGGTTTGCTCCCAGAGAGCCAGGTTGGGACAGCCAGGCTTGCCCAGAAACGGTGCGGGTTCGGACGCCAAGCCCGGGCGCCTCCTTGGAGCCTCTCCTGATCCTCCCCACGGCCTGCCAGAATCTCTCCGGGCTGAGCCAGTCCCAGCCCAGGGAGCGCAGCGCCCGCCGCCCCCTCCCTCTGCCCGGGCTGGACCTGGGACCCTACCTTCGCTCGCACATCCACCACCAATTCCCAGATATCGCCCTCGCTGGCGCGTCCGAGCAGGGCAAAGTCCACCCGCGTGCCCCGGGTCTGCGGAGAGAAGGGGCAGCAGGAAGGGCAAACTGGAGAGTTAATGTTCAGTGTGGAGTGCTCCACCGTCTTGGGGTGTTTCTCACCAACCTCGACCCGACTTCTTCAAGTCACAAGTGCCTCTCGGACCCAGGGCCGGGAAGGGTTGCAATAGCAACCGGCTTCCTTCGCCTTGCGCCTACCCGGCTGCTGCGGGACCGACGGCTGTCCTCCCAGGCAGGGGGCGGGGGCAGAGGGCTTATAAGGTCGTAGGCTAACCGAGCTCCCACGTCTTCACTGGGCAATAGGTTTGCTAATGAAGATCCCCCACTGGCCTTACAAACGCACACACATGTTTCAATTATCGGACTTTCCCGAAGGAAAGAGAGTTGCATTTGCTGGAGTTCGTTTTCCTCCTTGAATTTGTTAAAGTTTGTTTCTCTTTTCTTGTCTTTTTTTTTTTTTTTTTTAAGAGTGGCCTTAATTTATGCAGTAATTGCTTTAGTTTCCAGTTTTATTTTGTTAGTGTAGGCGGGACTGGACCCCAGCCTTTTGAGGTTCCATAACTCAGAGCTAGGTAACCCGGCTTTTAGTGAAACAAATGAAAAGAATATGGTTAGAGCTTCGGCTGCCAACCTAATCTGAGGATAAACCGCGGTCTACACAGTCAAAGTAAACCAGATGCTTGGTACCATTATTTAGATAACAGAAGAAAAATGATCTTTTGAAGCTTTGGCTATAGCTACTGAGCTGTTTCACGGAAAGCCACTTTCCTGGTCCAATTTGTCAATTTGCTTAGTCCCATCTGACCAGTAGATACTGACCCAGCAGATCCCACAATATAAAAGACTGTAATTACTTGAACAAGAATTTTTGTGGGCAGACTTGTCTCCCCTGCGATTTCAAAGATTTGCCCAAATCATGGGGTGAGGGAGGGAGCCTATGGTGTCAGCCGCTTTGGGCATGAGACCTGTCAATTATAACCATTGTTTACTGCTATAAATGAATGAAGTTTTATTCAAAACTGAGTAAACCGCCTCGGTGCTCCTTTGGCCCAGCCCAGCCTGGGTCTCAAAACCTGGCACCCATGGGCCGATCTGAGAGTCTCGGCTATTTCTGAACCGTCGGCCCGGGCAGTAGGGGGACCCGTGGTTAAGAGGCTGGTGCAGAGACAGGGGCTCTGAGGAGAGGGCAGAGCCGGTCCTAAGCCCTGTGGTCTCTGCTCATCCGGGGATGGCCTCCCCGGCGGCCCCGGAAGCGCCCCCAGCTTCGGACCCGGCGCCCCACGCCCTCCTCGCTGCTTTTCCCGCCTCTGGCCTCGTCCCCGCGGGCGCGGGCGCCGAGGGCCGGGGACACCTCGCGACAGATCCAGCTCCGGCTCTGAGCATTCCCAGCCAAGCGAGGCCAGATGAATTCTCCGAAAAAAACCTCAGAAATTGCCGCCGTTCCCTGAGCCATCAGTCCCGGCGGGCACGTTGTCGAGTTGCAAAAACGGTTGGATTTTTCTCTCAAGAACCGTGTCTGGACGCGGAGATGGAGCCATGTGTGGCCGCATTTTTGAACTCGGAAATCCGTTGGACACGGAAGGACTTTTCCGACCCTGAGACGTTTCGGCGTTGGGTCCAGTCTTCGTCGCCGGTGGGGGACGGTGCGCGCCCCAGCAGCTGTGAGTCTGGCGGTCCCAGCGGGACCTCGGGGCTGCGGGCCGAGCCGTCCCAGGCCCTCCGGCGCCGCGTTTTCTAGAGAACCGGGTCTCTGCGATGCTCATTTCAGCCCCGTTTTAATGCAAGAAACGAAACCCTACACGAACGAAAAGGAACATGTCTGCGCTCCGTGCGCAGCGCCCTCCGGCAGCGCGGGCCGGCGCGCGGGGAAGCGGTTTCTCCGCTGAGCGAGGCGGTGGAAGAGGCAGAGCCCACGCGGGAGGGTCTGGATCAGGCGGCGGCATTCAGAAGCTGGTGGCCTTCGAGGCCTGAAGGGGAGGAGCCGGCGGAGACCGGGAGTTAGCCGCACTTCGGTGCCATTTCTCGGACTCAGGAACTTTCGAGACCGGGAACGGCGTCTGGAGGGGGCCCGCGAAGCCCCAACCCTCAGGGATCCGCGTTGGTAATGGGCCGGTGCTTCAAAGGGCGCCTTTGTTCCGCCAGGAGGAGGGGGAATGAGGTTATCTCCGCAGCTCGGCCGGCCTCGCCCACTCGTCGCCCCAGGCTCCTCCGCCCAGCCGGCGGGCCGTGGCCTCTCCAGGAGGGAGTGCAGGGGCGAGCGCCCGCACTCCGGATCGCTAGCTCCCACCTCCCGCCACCTCAGTCCTGGGAGTCTCTACTGCCAGTCTTTGCCTTGAAAGGGCCTGCATCGCGAGGCTGGAGGAAAACGGGGTGGGGTTCAGTTCCTCCTGGCTCCCGGGAAGGCTAAGTCAGCCTCCTTCCACCTTCCCACCTCTCCTTGTCGGAAACGGACAATCCACTGCCCCAGGCGAGAACTACTGCATGGAAACAGGCCACACTGGCCCCAGCCCCAAGCTTGTTCCGCTCTTGTGGTCCAGTTAAGGGAAACTGAAGCTGTGGTAGGGATTGCCATAATGAGAGGGGCCCAGGAACATAGGCCCCCAAAGCATCACTCTGTCCTTACAGAAACGTAGAGCTATCGATCAGTTTGTCCGGATAGTTAGTTTTGCACTAAACCCCCTCTTTCTTACAGGAAAAAAGCCTTGCTTCTTTTGAAATCCTATCTGTGATCACTTTTCAGTATCTTGAGTCATTTTCCTGCCCCTTGCTTCTTCGTGGTTGGGTCAGAAGGACCCCTATGTTTCTGCCCCTACATGTAGACATAGACTGAAGGATACATTCTATCTGCCCCAACAGGACATGACAGTAAACCAAGCAACTTAGCTTTTTCTAAAATACCCAGACTTGAGGCAAAGGGATGTGTGTATGTCAGAAGGACAGAGTAAGCTTGTTGCTTCCATCCTCCAGTTTGGGTTTATAAAGACAAACACAGAGAACACCACGCAAGGGACCAACACATACTCTCAGAATTACAAAAGAGCCATTAAGTCATACACACCGAGGCAGACTGCAGTCCTGCTTTCTCAGCCACAGACTGTCCTTGACACCCCTGCACCCCGTTCACTCCCATCTACAGGGTCTCTCCAGGCTGCCACCTCACTTTTGACCAGCCTGGGCCAGTTGAGCTGCTGAGGCCAACCCTGTGAACTCTGGGATGAGTGAGGCCTTCTCCCTGTCCAGCTCACCTGTCTAGAGGAAAAACCACTGTTGGGACTTCACCCAGGCTCAGAACAATGCCGTTTTTTGAAGCAATTTAACATCAGCAAGAAGTGTCTGCTTCCCACCCACCTCTCCCACCTTTCTCTGGCCTATCATACTGGTACCCACCTAAGACTTTCTTATTCCTACTTGGATCAGGCTCCTCCTTTCATTCCTTCTTACCCCTCTCTGCCAGACACCTCCCCTGATCATCTATCCCCTCCACCACCAGCAGTTAAACTTCCTCCGGTCAGGCCTAACAGCCCTGGGCCTGCCTCCACCTTGAAGGGCTCACTGGGCAGAGTGTCCCCCTCCATCTCCCCAGGATGTGATGCCATTCCCTTTTGTAGCTGCACAGATCCAGCCACTTTTGAAACGGGAAAGTGATTGTCAGGGGACTTTACCTCCCCTCTGGTAACCTTGTTCCAGAGAAGACCCCAGCAATAAAGTTCACCTGTGTAAGCGTCCAAAGCCCAAGGACTTGGCAAAAGTAATGCCAGTCAGTTTCCACCAGCAGAGGGACAGAACAGTTACCTGGAGAGTTTTAGCAATAGCATCTCAATTATGTGCCCTTACTTCACTTACAGGGGTTATTTCCAGAGATGGAAGATGTCACTTGAGATCCAAACAATTGCCTTAAACAAAACAACAGGTCAAATTGGGTAAAACCAGTGGGCCATTTCTGAAGAAATTAATTGGATCAGTCAATCTCAACAGCTAACTGGGTGAAAACATTCCTTCTAGGGCTCTTCCTTGTCAGTGGGTCAGGGGTACTGATATGTGCCACTGCATGAGAATCCACGGGTGATGTCAGGGCCTGTTTCACATCTGAGAGCATGTGTAACCAAGCCAGAGATTGTGTGAAGGCCTAGTGGGGGGGAGGGGGTATTGAGCGTGGGGCTGTGGGTGGAAGTTTATTTTGGCTTTTGTAGTTCCTGACCTCACCACCTGGGCCTTGTCCAACCCAGTGTCAACCCCTCCTCCTGCATTTAGGAGCTGAGTTCCCATGATGGCCAACCTTTGCCAAGGGACAATCACACTCTTTGAAAATCCTGTATGGTAGATGGGAGAAAAAGACAGTAGGGAGGCTGGAGCATATATTTACACACGCCCATGCAGAAACCAATATATCTATATCTATATATATTAGAGAGAAAGATGACATCTAGATATTTATACACGTGTTTCTTCAGCACGGGACTATTCAGGGATGAAGCAAGGCCTTTTCCCACCAGAGAACAGTAGAAGTCTCCTGGGGGGAGTGGGCTTTACCTGAAGGCCTGGGGGAGAGAGGCGGGGAGGGGGGTGGAAGAAGCCTGACCTCGGACCTTCAGGTGTTGCCTGGACACTGAGGTAGCAGCTGGCCTATTTTTACCACTTGCAAGGTAGAGCCTGGGCCTGTTGGCAGGAATTTTCAAAGGGCTAGCAGCCTGAGCATTTTTAGCTGCAGGGGTGGTTTAAACAGGTGTGAAAAGAGAGTGCCTTGGGTCCCTTCTAGTTCCTGAAAATGTTTGGCATGAGGGTGCTTAGCAGCCTCACTGTTCCCCTTACCACCTTCCTGACACTCAGCTCTGTCCCTACTCTTGTTGAGGGAGATAGGACGGGGTCAGGGGACAAAGAGAGCCAAGGGACTTTTCCCACCTCCCGGCCTCGTCCGCTGCTCCAGGCGCTGTGGATTTGGGCCGGCTGGCGCCTCGCTAGGCCTGGGCCCTCCTCCTGGCCCAAAGAGTGAGCCGCTGCTCGGCTCCTCCAGGCCTCCGGCGACCGACGGCGTAGCTCTGGAACCCTAGGGAAGTACTGGGGGAGGCGAGAGGAGTGGACTTAAGCAAGGGGTGGCACAAGGGAAAGGGGAGAAGTGGGGGCGGGAGTCCAGGATTGGAGAGGGTAACGGAGCGCCGAGGGCGTTTGCGAGCGGGGCCAGAGGGCCGGGCTTGGCCGGCTCCCGCGGGCGGCCCGGCAGCCGGGCTGCGGCTCACCGCGCGCCCCTTCTCTCTGTCTGTACCTGCTGTGTTGCCGTCGGCGGCGCGGCCGCAGCGAGCGACGTGCCCCAGGACGGGCTGCTGCTGCACGGGCCCTTCGCGCGCAAGCCCAAGCGGATCCGCACGGCCTTCTCGCCCTCGCAGCTCCTGCGGCTGGAGCGCGCCTTCGAGAAGAACCACTACGTGGTGGGCGCCGAGCGGAAGCAACTGGCCGGCAGCCTCAGCCTCTCGGAGACGCAGGTAAAAATCACCCGGCCGGCGCGCGCTCGGCCCGCGAGCCCAGGTGGAGGTGGGGGCGGGCAGGTGCAGAGGGGCCCAGTCTCACGCCCCCGCCTTCCCCGGAGCCCTGTCCCACCCGGTTCCACAAGCCACCCTCCCCGCCCCCCCCCGCGGCCCTCCTGCAAGGCCCGCTCGAGAGCCCCTTCCCACCCGCTGCGTTTGGCCTCGCGGAGTCCGCAGGACTTCTGTCAAGCTCCAAGGACCCACCAGGAGGTTGGAAGCAAACCACAACCCAGCCTGCTCTCAAAGTCCATGGGAGGTGCCAGGTTCTCAGGAGGAGGCAGGGCGTGGAGCCCCACGCCGCAGCCACTCCCGAGCTGTCCCAGTGTCCACTGGAGCCGTCTCAGCCCCGTGGTGGCGGCCGCTCTTCTCCCGCCCCTCTTCGGGGGTGCTCACGGCTCTGCGGGAGGCCCGGGCCTTTCCCCGCCCCGGCTTTGCGGCTGTTCATGGGCAGAGTTGGCGGGGGCCTGGCTGCCCACCAGCGGATGTGGTGTGGGGAGAAAGCCCGCGTGTCGTCAGGCTATGAACATCAGAAGCAGAGGAATTAGCCAGGCAGGGGCCAGCCCTGCTTGGGGTCCGAGGGTGGCGCTGATCTCTGCGCAGGCAGGCTGGTAGGGCTCTGGAAACTGGTGTTTGGGGCGCGCAGACCTGTGAGGCACCTGGAAATGGTGGGAAAGTAGATGCGGGGACTCAGGGACTGTGTTCACACGCTTGAAGGGCTGTTGAGTTGGGGAGGGAACGAACTCTAATGGCGTTGGAGAGGTTTTGACCTGGGTGAAATTACAGTAACCACGTAGTATTTTTGTAATTGATAATTAAGAAAAGAAAATTTTAAAGAACTAGATTGTAGTTATAGGGAGGCAGATTTGGGTTTATTGTAAAGACTGCCATAAATAATTGCTGCCTGGAAACACCACCTAAGCTCTTGGTCCCTGGGAGTAGCCGCTGTGCTGTAGGGGCTGGTTGCTGCCCTGGAGGCCGATTTCCGTGTCTGGATGGGCCTGGGGAGACCTTCTTCCCTTAAGTCCCTCACAGCTCCCAGATGTGCAGATGAGGGGGGTCTGCTCGCCGCCCTGCGGCTCCCGCCCTGCCGGCTTTTTGTCACCCTCTCCCCTTTCTTGCTGCTCTGGCCCCTACTACCTGCCATCCTAGTCCCATGAGGAAGCGTCTGGGGGGAAGGGGGCAGCCTGGGGTCTCCGGGGATTAGTGAAGATAGGAAGGGGGCCCAGTGGGGGAGTCCAGACCCTACGTGCCTCCCCAGCTCCCCTGGCAGACATCACTCGCTGGTCCTTGCGTCCTATTTTGGTTTCTATTGTCAAGACGTCTTATCTGTCTGATGCCCCATTTAATCACATATTGCTCTCCTCTCCACTGTAGAACCCATGCTTTTTGGGCTGTTCTAACTGCAGAGATAAAGCTTACAAAACAACAGAGTTAATTTTTAAAATGTTTTAAAGAAATACATGCTAAAAAAACCAAGTTAATAAGATAATACCCCGTTCCCTCCTGGCAAACAGTGTTTTAAAATTGTTGTCTAAAACAAGGTGTCAATTTAAGAATGGTGTTTATAGTTAACATCATTTAAAAAGTATTAGGTATTAAATTTTAATTGCAGAAGTGTAAGAAAACAAAATGGTTTATAATGCTCCCACCCACAGATTTAACACTTGTTGAAATAATATCATTGTTTTTTAAACTTCCAATTCTTTAGCTCAGTGAGAGCATTTTTAATTGTTTCTTTCAAACCGAATCTAGCTGCCTATTTGCTCCTAACAATGCCAGTTAGTAAATGTAATGATTGTTTCCTTCATTTTATTATGTTTCAAACATATTTAAAACAAAACCAGATAGAATAATACGGTATATCCAGCTCAACTATCAAAACTCATGTCTAATCTTGTTCTATCTATAGATGAGCTGGTTTTAGCATATGGAACAAAAAAACCAATAGAACTATGGGAGGTTTGAGCCTGAGAAACCATCCTGTAGAGGCTCATCTTTTCAGGTGAGGACTCTGAGATAGAGAGATGGACTGGGCAGAGCTCCCTAGGCAAGCAGATTGGATTTCATTATCTGCCTCCTTGCTAATTAACTGTGTGACCTTGTGTGAGTTACTCAACCTCTCTGAGCCCTGATTTTCTCATCTGGAAAATAGATTGTTTAAGGATTAAAGGTACCCAATAGGAACTCAAATAATATTAATTCTCATCCCCAGTCCTTCCCTTCCCTCTGTTTAAAGTAGTATATATATCAAGTTAGTGTTACAGTAAGCCCCTAACCTGGGAATCCTGACTTAGTCTAGTGTTTCTTCTGCCATATCTGGTCTCCTTCATCATCATAGCTGTCTTTCTGTCCCTCTTGTAACTCACTATTTAGACTTAGGCTATCTAATTAATTATCCATCTTTCAGTATTTACTGGGCAAGCCTACCTGTCATTTCCAACTATTGGCTATTTGTCAGGCGTCCATCTCTACCATCAGTCCCCTACCATCTATTTCTACTGTCAGTATCTACATTTGTCTCTCGGAGCTCTCCAATCCATCTTGCACAGATAGCTGTTTTATATCTAGCCACGTACTTCTGTCTGATCTCATTAAACTGCCTCTCCAAAGCTGGTTATCTTATATTTCCTATTTTCTATTAATTACAGTCTTCTTCTTCCTAACAATAGTTCTCAATTACCCAACTGCTGATTATTTCCTTATCCTCTATTCTGTTTTATCTTCTGTGTATCTACCATCCATCTCAAGTCTCCATCTCTATAGATCTAGGTAGCTACTAACAGCATATTCATAAGCCTGCTAGTGCTTGCTTATCAGTCATCAGCTCTACCTTTGTCTTCTTTGTGGGCCTACATTGCTGTATCTGTAAGATTTGATGAAATGAACTCCGTGGTTCTTCCCAGCTCCGAGTTTTTGGCTCATCTATATTCTACTTCTCTGTGTTTCTATATGATGCTTCCTCCAAGTTCTCAGAGCTCATAATACATCTCCCATATATCATAATACACATAAGACTTTGCTGCTGTGAAATTATCTACCGTGTCCAAATGTCACTCTGTAGACTGGCTAGATGGATCTCGCAAGAAAATCTTAAAATACAGATTCCCAGGCCCCATTCAGGAGATTCTCTTAGGAGTTCCAGGATAGGATCCAGGAAGTGTTTTTAAAACAGCTCTCTGGGTGATTCTGATGAACAACAGGCCAGCTTTGGGAGCCAGAGGACAAGCCTTCCTGTTTCTCTCTACACCCTAGGGTCCGGCTCAGTGACGAGCAAGGAGTCGATGCTCCATAAACATGTATTGAATGAATAGGCAAATTTCTTTTGATTATACACATATCCATGTGTTAACTTTATCAATCATTTCCCTTGCTTTCTGTAGCCACTGACCCCTCCCTTTCCCTCTGTTTTCTATTTTTCCCTTGCACTTTATTTTAGATGATCCAGTTTTATCCACCAGTTCGTGGATAAAACTCCCGGTAGGGTTAAGGAAATCAGTGTGTGGGTCTTAATCCAGGGCCCAGGGGTCTCTGTATGCTCAAAGCTTTTGTATGGAGTGTTGGGAGGTGGGCAACCCAAACTTCTTTGTTGGGGCAGGTTAGTATGTTTGGTTGAGAGTTGGGTATTTATGCTGGGATGGCCACCGGTCAATCCAGGAAGTGGAGGGAGTAGTCCCGGGAAAGGGCTAGTTCTCCTTTCTGGCTCTGATTACTTGCTCCTCACCGCTATGGTGCAGCCTCAGAGTCTGACCCGGATGACTGGATGATGCCCATCTAAGCTTCAGTCCTGGTGGGGCAGACCCGGATTTGGGTCAGATCAGAGCTGTGAGTGGAAGTGAATGTGTGTGTGTGTGTGTGTGTGTGTGAGTAATGGGTGTGTGTAACATGTGTGTACTACAGTGTGGGGCACGTCCAGGCAGTGTGATTGATGCCCAAAGGTCAGGTGATATCATATGCACACAGCGTAGAACACAGCTCGGGTGCTTCTGTGGCACGTTAGTGTTATGGGGAATGAGAGAAAGCCTTTGGTTGCTCCAGGCTGATCAACTGGTCAGTGTTTCCAGCTGCCCCTCCTGCTCTGAACAGTTTAGCAGGTGTTTCTTCACCTTCTCTGGCTTTGAGTTCATTTGAGCTGTGAGGGAAAGGGGTGTGGAAATGGAGTCCTTAGCCTTGGAGATTCCTCCTTTAGTGATGGGGGCAAAATGTAAAGTGTGCACACATGCAGAATATGCACAACGAGTGCCTGGAGTCTCCTTGAAGTCACAGCTGTGGGCTGAGGGAAGTGAGGGGAGACCTGCATGGGTGGAAGTTTCCCAGAAGACCTCAGGCCCAGAAGGCTTAGAGGGATGCATAGGATTCTAGGTTGGTGGGAAGGAAGGGGAGGGTTTGAAGTAGGTGGATTAAGACGGAGCAGGAGGTGTCAAGTCTGGCCACCGTCTTGGGGCCCAAGAACAGGTGGGGAGGTCTTAGAGGGAAGGAGTGTATGGTAACCTGCCTATGGGTTTTTCCCCCCAGGGGCATTGGTAAGGAGACTTCTTGGAGTCCATTCCTGCTCTGAAAAACTCTGCTTTTTAAGGGATGGATGAGAAGGAGATATCCAAATGACTTGAATTTTAGGGAAAGGTCAAGAGGCCTTTGTTACTAGCTCGCTGTCTGTTCTGAGATGGACTCATCTCTTCTCCAAGTCTTGGCTCTTCTCCAAGAATTTCTGCACCACTCAAGTTCCAGAGTCCAGTGGGAAGCAGGCCAGGGCAGGGGAGGTAAGGAAACTGGAGTGAGTCCCTAGGGCCTAGTCCTGAAGAGGCAGATGACTCTGTGATGTCTCTCTGAGAGTGAGGGCAAGCATCCAGGATAGTCTGGCAGAGGAGGAGACAAGAAGGCTTAGGATGAGTTGGGCTATAGTTGATGGGGAGTCAGAGGTGGCCTCAGTTCGGTGGGTCTAGGATGGCATTGGGCTTGACCCTGAGAGTAGGAGGAGCTCATATGATCAAATAATAAGAAATGGATCCCTAGCAGAGGAGGGTATTACCTTGATAGGGTATTTGAACTCCTTGAGGACAAGTATTCTCCTGAAAGTATGCAGGCAGGAGCTACAGACTCTTCCATTTGGGATGGGCTAAAGTTGGGGACCAGTAGAAATGAAGGGATCCAAATCTGGGTCATTCAAATAGCAGGTTATTCAAAAGTAAAGTCTGAAATAATTGGCTGGAGCTGTAGTTTGGTTGTGTGTTAGTACCTTTGTCCATTCATTTGCCCATTAATACATGCACACCTTCATTAATGTATACATACATCAGTCAGTCCTCTAATGCATTAATGCATGCATGCATTCATTCATTCATCCACAGCACCTTCCTCATCCTGTTTGATTCATGCTGACCCTTGCGCCTCCCAACAATAGGTCTCCCTCCCTGCCCCAGATTCTCCCTAGAAGTGGTTAATCCAATCCACAACATGGAGGATTAAGAATTGACCCTGTTGGAGAAGTGTCCACTGAACTATGCCTAAAATCTCTCTAGCAATTGCACTTCCCAAACCCCTTTTCTGATTAGACCTCGATCCCTCCATCGTTGATTTTCTTGGGCTCTCCAGTTCTGGCCTAGGCACCTCTTAACCAATAGCACAGTGCCAGGAACTTCACCTGTGCCCAGCTTGCTGAACAGACTGGAACGTGCCCACTGGGACTCCAGCATAGACTACTACACTGCTCTGGTTCTCCAGGTTCCCACGACCTGATGAGGAGACAGAGGTTCGAGCAGGTACATGAACCCACTGCTCGGGTCACTGTTGCTGAGACAGGGAAAACTAAGGAAGCACAGACATGCAGTGGGGCAGGTCCAGCCCAGGAACATCTGAGCAGGATTCTGAAGGCTAAGTAAGAGTACTCCAGGTGGGGTAACTCAGGCAAAAGTGGAGAATCTTGGAAGGATCTGGCTTCTCTGAAAAACTGAGACATTCAGTGAGGCGGGGACTTGGGAGGCCACAAGGAACCTCTCTCCAAACCCAGAGGAGACACAGATGGGGGAGGGGTTCCTTCAGCCAATATCCCAACTGTGCCTTCGGGGGCTAGTGTGCGGGTATGGTGGGGAGGCAGGTGCAGAATAAAGACCGCCTCGCAAAGCTAGCTCCCACAGAGCTGGGAGCCACACTGCATGACCTGGTTCCTTTCTAAGGCCTCTGTCCTCCAGGGAAAGGGCTCTGGGGTGACCCCAGATTGCCTTGCTGGGTTACAGAGGTGATGGGGGTGTCACTCTTGCCTCCTACTACACTCAGAGCCCAATTCTTTTTCTTTTTTCTAAGTAAAAAATAACTATTAATTGTTATCAGTAATGCACTAAAGACGGAAAAGTGGAAAGAAGAAAGGTCACCCCACACGTTAAGTACATTTCCTTCTAGTCTTTTTTCCCCATGCATAGATTTTGTTTTCCCATGGTTGTGATCACACTGTGCCCAAACTGCATCCTGCCCTTTTCACTGATATCATTAAGTCATAAGCATCCCCCTGTTATTACAGTCTTTGTAAACAGCATCTGGTCATTCAGCCTAAGGCTGTTCACAAGATAGCCAGTCTGCTTAGGGAGACAGTTTACCTCCCTGTTTCTAGAAAGCTGCCTCCTTGACCCCGGTTGTTTTCATGGAGAAAATATTCAGGATCACCTTTCATTTGGGTGTGCCAGGAAAGCTGGCCCTTGCCTGAAAACATAAGCTGTGCCTGGAACTCCACCACTGATAACTTTCCTTCTTCAGCCCAGTGCTGTGCGGCAGGGTAGCAGGCTGGGTCCATCCCACTATAGATAAGCCTCCTTCCTGAAAGGAGACTTGGAGTGTGCGTGAGAGGGAGAAGGTGCAGCAGAGGGCCAGCTGTCCTGGTGTTGCCCAGAGCTTCCCCGGATTGCCCCATCACTAGGCTGGGCACGCTTAGGCCTCGGCCAGCCCCTTGGGCTCTCAAGAATGCTGCTCCAGCCCTGCATCCAGGCCTGAGTCACGCACATGCCTTGCGTAGGCGCTCACCCACCTACTGGCTGGCATAGTGTCAGTGGGCTCTAGGATAGGGGGCCGGGGCCGGGCAGGGGCCAGACGTGGTTGTGCTGAGAACCACCCAGAGCCCAGCCTGCCCTGTACCCAAGGAAAGATGGTTATGGGATCTAGAAGTTTTGCACCCAGAGTATCTACTGTTTTCCTTTGTCTGTCTGAGGTGAGACACGCAGGCGATGGGTTTGCACCCTGCCTTAGAGATGAGGGAAGAAGATCCTCCTCTTACACCATCCACTGAGGCCATGTGCTTCATTTCTTCCTGTCCCTGTATGGCTGCCCCTACCCCCATCCAGTGCTCTAAAATTAAGGGCAGGGCAGACCCTGGGGAGGAGGTGCTATTAGGGGAAGCCTTGGATTGGGTGGGCTCCATAAAGCGGACAGGGGGTGGTGTCTGGGAAGGTGAAGGTAGAGCGCCCTGGGCAGGGAAGTGCTCCCAGGGCCCTGATGCCGGGCCTGCTTTTGGCCGCCACTGCCTAGCTTTATGGCTACAGCCTTGCCTTTCCGCCATTCTCAGGGACTAGCAGCTGCACTAAGGGTTGTCTTCTGAGGACTGCCCCTGGCCCCACCCAGGGTTCAAGGATCTTCCCTCAGCAGTCACTGATGCTGCCAAAACCAAAGTGCTCACCGTCATTCCACACACACAACTTCCCACTCACCACTGGCAAGGACACCAGGGGTCACCCAGCAGCAGCCGACAGCACCTACTGGCTTTGCAAGTGAGCTGTCGTTTTCAGGAAACCATCCATGTCTCGTAACCCTGCCATCTCTGCGTCACCTGCCCCAGGGACCCTCTGGAGCAAAAGCCCAGGAGATGCCCTGGAGCTGCAAGGCCCCCAGAAAACATCTCTCCTACAGATGAAGGACTTAAGCCCAGAGCAGGGAAGGAACTTAGCAAAGGATCAGCACCCGGGCCCATTTTTACCAACTCTGAGGATGGGGGAGATGGCCTGGCTCTGCAAGACCAAGTAAAGAACTGCAAGGTCAGGAGGAGCTGACAGATGAGTGAGGCTTCCTCCACAGTCCTCGAGCACTAAGTCTAGTTAGGGAGCTGGGATAGCCCTCCTCGATCATACACAAGAGGATGTTAAAGGCTGTATCCTGGACACGGAGCAAATGCTGGGGGAGGCGGGAGAAGTGAGGGGTGATGAAAGATACAGCTAAATCTGGGGGAGGCTTCCTGGAGGAGGTGAGCTTAGCATTGTTGACCTGTTCCTCCAAGCCCCCACCACCCATCACAGAAGACAGTTGTCCGCTTTTGAACCCTCCCCTTGTCAAGACTCTCACTGCCTGACACAGAAGCAGGGAGCCCTCTCTGTTTAAAGAGGAGCTCACTTCTGTACCCTGCGATTTCTCCTATGGAACCTGTTCCCATATCTGGATGGGCTGTAGAGGCCAGCACTTTGGGGGCAGGAAGTTTAGAGCACTGCTTCAGGTGGGGCTGCAGACACCCCTCTGTCTGAGGAGGAGGAGGCCTCACTGGTGGGTTTCAGACTACCCTGAGTAGCTGCCCCCTGAGGGACCAGCCTTCCCACCTGCCCAGCTCAACCTCTGATGTGGGATGGGGGGAATTCCACCTGCTCACAGGGTCCCCTGGAGAAAAACTGACTGACCTGGACGGTGTGTGAGTTGGAACCTTGAGTGGCAAGGGTCTGTGACCCTAGGAGTGCTCTGGCTGTCCTGGGCACTGCTCTTCGTGTGGGGGGTTATGTAGCCATGTCCCCTCTGCCTCTTTGCGCTGCAAAGAGCATAGGGTGGCCGGGGGTGGGGGGCACATCAGACCCACAGGGTGCTCATCAGGACTCACGTGATGGCTTTTCATACGTTCGCCTGAAAATACTGTTTACCTCCACCTCGTGAAGGAGAGATTATTATCTCTTCTCTAGAAGGCGGTAGGGACCCAGGTCTGCTGGGCTCCTGAGCCTGGATGCCTCCCCTCTACTGTGCTTTGGCTACAGGATGCTCGGCAGCTCCGTGATGGCTCCCTTTCCTCTGTGAGAGGGACTGGAAGATGGCCCCTCTTGGCCCTCACTCTGCCCTCTCCCTGCCCCACCTCATTCACATCTGGAAGAGTAGTCTTTCAGATCCAGCAGGTGGCGCGTGGCCAGAGGAGAGGCCCCTGACCTTGGTTTCCCCATCTGGCTCCCAGCTCAGCCTGGGTGCTGAGACCCCAGTAGCTGCTCTGGGGGCCTCCTGGGTGTTTCTTACTTCTGCCCCTCCCTCCCCGGCCCAGGTGAAGGTGTGGTTCCAGAACCGGAGGACAAAGTACAAGCGGCAGAAGCTGGAAGAAGAGGGGCCTGAGTCCGAGCAGAAGAAGAAGGGCTCCCACCACATCAACCGGTGGCGCATTGCCACGAAGCAGGCCAACGGGGAGGACATCGATGTCACCTCCAATGACTAGGGTGGGCAGCCACGGATCCACGAGGGCAGAGCATCTGCTCGCTGCTGGCCAGGACCCCGGGTGGGCCCTGCTAGACTCTGGCCGCTCCCCCGCCAGGCTTCGGGGAGGCCTCGAGTCACGGCCCCACAGGGCTCGGAGCCTGGGGCCACCACTGACAGAGGGACAAGAAATGGGCTGGCTGAGGCCTGGGACTCCTCCACCTTTTCCTCAGAGAGCCCGCCTGCGTGGGCAGGCCGCCGGCCACAGCCACTCTCCACTTCTCTTATCTCCTGCGTTTCTGTTTTAATTTATTTTCCAGGCACCCGCTGTAGTTCTTAGTGATCCCCCTGTATCTCCCTTCCCTATGGGAATAATAAAAGTCTCTCTCTTAATGACATGGGCATCCAGCTCCACCCCCGGAGCCTGTGAGCCCCGGGGTCGGGGGGGGGTGGATTCCGGCTCTGGGGACCAGAGGGGACTGGCAGAGCAAGCTTGTACAGCGCCTGGGAGCCTGGGGTGGGGCCTGGGAGACTCAACTCATTAACTTTTCTCCTCTGTTGGTGGTCCACCCTGGTCTCTAGCTCCAGCTCTAGAGCAAGGGAAACAGGCTAGACATGGGGAAGGACCACCCTGTGTCTTAAGGGAGGCTATCTATGCTCTGGTCTTTCCAAGCTTATTGAGCAGTGGGAAACGCCCATGTGGGTTAGGGGAGAGACAGAACATGCCCACTTCTGCATGCTGAGAGACTCTGGTGGCTCCTCCAATTGAGGAGAAACTAGAAGAAAAAGGGAGTATTGGGAGCTAGGGGCAGAGCACCATTCACAGAAGTTGACTATCCCAGCCCCAGGTCCTGGCCCCACCGGGATGCTCATCCATCCCCGGAGAACCTCCCCCCCGCCCCCCGCGTGCAGATGAAAGCTTCCACATTGGGGTGTAAGGCTGAGCCTCCAACCGGTCCCCAAGGACGCAGGGCCTCTAGCCAGGAAAGAATAACAAGGCAGGGCTCGACTGAGCTCTTTAGTTCATCTGCCCTTCTGCTCATCCACTTGCCTCTCCTGCTGTCACACATCAAGGTTTCCTTCATCCTTAAAAAGCAAGACCTGTCTTCCTAACAACCTTTCCCTTACAACGTCCAGACCTGTCTCCACTTCTTCACCTCCCATGTGCTCCCCAACCCTCTCACCAATCACCAATTACTACCACCCGTGGGGGCCAAACTCAGCTGCCGCCTATTTGGCTTTACCTACAGCCCACTCTTCCGGCCATTCCTTCCTTGACTCCAACACCCCCCTCTGCCTTTATTCCGGTGCCTCTGACACATCACCTGCCTCTCCGAGTCCTCCCGTCTTGTCCTTGCCTCGTCGCCCCTGTCCACTGCAGGGCCAGCCCTTGCGCCTCCTGCCTCTTCACTGTGCCCTCCACCTGGGGCTTCACATCCATGTGCAGGACTTCTCCTGGCGCCCTGGACTCCCTGCAGGCGCCACCTCTGCCGAGCTGCAGACCCCCTGAGCCCGCCGCGCACATCTGCTGCACTCCAGGCCCCCTGGCACCTCAAACCCAACACGTTCACGGCTGACTCATCTCCCCACCTGTTCTCCTCCAGGATTGCCCACCTCGGCAAATGGCCAAGATTTCTTCTACCTTGGGAAGCAGTGTACATGGCTCCTCGGGGGTGGGGAGGGAAGGGAAGGAGGGGTAGGTGTAATAAGGTGTGGATGTCAGAGATGAGGCCCCTCCATACTGTGGCTAGGGTTCTCTTCCTTGAGCCCACACAGGACTGTGTCACACTCATCCTAAGCCCCCCACTCTACCCCCACTTCTTTCCCAGCCTTGGCCTCTCCTACCTCACTCCTGGTGCCCTCTGCTTCAGTCTCGCCCGTGTCATCCCTGAGCCCCTGTGAGCCATGGGTTTTGCCCGTGCTGTGCCTTTACTCATGTTTCTCTTGGCTCCTGGAATGTGCTGGGGGCTTGATCCATGTTGACGTCAATGTTGAAGACTTGCCTGGGGCACATGCAGGGATCCAAGCACAGAAGTTCCTTTTGCTGGGACCGTCAGCATCTCACTTGGGTCTGGTCAATGCTAGAAACCAAAGGGCTTTCTCCCATCCCAATGGCCCTCCCCACCCCATCAACCAGGAAACACATTCCCCACATCTTGAAAGTCCTAACCTCAAAGCGCATTGTCTCACTGCCAAGCAGGTGGATAACCTCTGCGGAGCACGTACACACAAGTGGGCTGAGGTGGAGAAGGGGAGGCGTCCTTTTGGCACCGGTGGGGGCAGAGGAACGGGTGAGCTGTTCCTCTCAAGAGTCTCACTTGGTGGGGGAGGGGGCGCAGGAGGATCCCAGCAGAGTAGCCCCTGTCATCCAGATAAAGGGCTGGAAAGGACCCAAGGAAACCTGCCAGTCTTCCTAGGCCAGGCCTGCATGGGGCGGGGCGGGAGTCCCCACCGCACTCCCATCCACCCCCCCGTGTTGTGCCTCTCCCTGCAGACGGTAAATATTGGTGTTGTGACTTCATTAATAAAGGCTTCTGTGAGCCTGAAAAACATGGAATCAGGATGAACTATTTTCTGAGCTGCCGGCTTGCCAGGTTTGCTAATTTGGGAGTTTTTGGGCCCTCTCCAGGGAACAAACCAAAGTTTCTCTCAAAGAGACACAGATGCAGCCGGGAAGGGGAGAAGAAGCTGAGGAATGATGCTCCCGTCCCTCCCTCGACTGCTCCTTCCTCTTGGAGATCAGGGCCCTGCAGGTGGACAGGTGGACAGGGGCTGCTTGGCCAGGCGTTCCCCAAATGAGCCCGGCGAGGTCATGTCCCCGCCAGCTGGGCTGGCCTCCCAGGCCCTGCAGAGTCAGACGGCTGCGGTACTGATGACAAGAGACAACCCCACGCTGCATGTGGCTTAAGTGGAGGGAACACGGGGCAGCTGTTCTTAACTCCCGTGGCCCAAGCCATGTGCCTCAGCTTCGGGGAATGATCTTTACGCTCCTCTCATCCATGGAACTTTCCGAGATTAGTCCCCACAGCTCTGTCGCTGCATGGCTTGTGATCTTAGCATCTCTGCTCTTGGTTTTCACCAACTCCTCCTCAGGGGCGCTGTGACTGCTTCCCATGGGGCTTCACGGAACCCGTGCCCAGTGAACTGGGTTCCGCCCAGGAGGGAGCCAGGCGGGGGCCGGCAGGCCTCTGCTGGAGCCCCTGCTCCCGGGCAGCCATGCAGGGGGAGGGGCAGGGAGGCCAGCAGGCTGAGTGGTGCAGGCCCAGCCAGCTTTCCTGTCAGACAGGCGCTGCCAATGCGGAGCCAGACATCGGGAACAGGTTTAACCAATTACCCGAGCGCCCCATCTGCTGTCTGGGGTGTGTGTGAGGGTGAGTGCATGTGAGGGTGTCTGGGAGTGTCTGGGAGGGCTGTGGGCGTGTGCGCGCGACTGTGACTGTGTGGGTGTGTGTGGGCGTGCGGCGGGGCACGTGGGCGGGGTGTGCCGCCTGTCCCCGTCATACCCCCTCATTTGTCAGACTGTGGCCACCAGCTTAGGGTCTTCCTGTCTCCCCAAGACCTGGGGGTCTCCATGAACAACCCACCCAGCGCGCCAGGCCCCCATTCCCCACTCCCCTCCTCACCACTCTCACCCCCAGGGCTTACGAGAGCCCGGAATCACGCCTTCTTTCAAATCGCACATTCAGATGTCCTTTCCTATCAGACCACACGTTCTTCCCGCTCACTCGCTCAATTTCCTTCTACATCCGTGCTTTGACCTCCTCACAGGCTGCTCCTGGCCACAGGCCCCTCCATTGTCTCTCCCACATCCCCTGGTCCCACTGCTCCTTGGTTGCACCTGCCTGGCAAAATCACAAACTTGCTCGAACCTGTTTCCCCATCTGCCCTTGCAGCTGAGTCTGTGAGGACATCAGGCAAGCGTGCTGGATGGCACCCCTTGAAGTCCAAGGTCCCAGCCTCGGTTTAGATTGATAAATCCACCCCTGTTCTCCACAGGGGATGTCTCAAACGGTCACCCTTCTCCCCAAACCTCTTTCCCTGCTTACCCGCAACAGAAGACCTTATTTCCATCTCCAGAGGGAAATGAAAGGCTCTGGAAGAGAACACCTTTGTTACCAACCGGGGGCCGGGAAGAAAGAGATAGTCTCTTCAAATGGGGCAGTCTGAGGAGGGTTGGATAAAGGAACAATTCACAAATTTGGGGACCCCAAGAAGAGATGTTGTAGTGCCCCAAGCTAACGACAGTGGCCCACAGCCCTGAGGCCTGAAGAGGCAGGGGCAGGAGCAGTCACCAGAACCTGAGAGGACAGATGGATGGAGATGGCCCCAGACAGGAGCTGTGGCCTTCAGTAGCAGGGGGCCCAAGGAGGCAGGGGAGGCCAGGGGAATGAATCCCCCAGTGTCACTCTCTTCAAATCCTTCACTGGGGACTCCCAATCACAGGAGCCAGATGGCAAGTCCATACAAGTCAGCCTCCCGGGACAGAGAGCGGGTAGCGAATGGTGCAGAGTGGATCTGGGGGGGCCAGGCAAGCTAGCCTCTCACCCCCCCAACCTCCTACCCTCAAACCCACACCACCTCTGTCCTGTTACCCGGAGACCCTCCTCTCCTTCGGGCCCGCCCCTCTCCTCTCCGGGGACCTCACTTCTCTTTCCTGCCTCCCCAGGCTCCTCCCTCTCACCCGTTACTGTCCACATGCCCGAGTCTTCCTTCTGACACCTTCCCTTAGCCCCACATGGTGCTGCAGACATCATCAGGTCTCAACGCCCAGCTCACAACCCAATTTCTTGGAAATTCTTTGTTTTACAAGTTAAGGTACACGGGCGGCCAGTCGGAGTCCTACGAACTTCCCAGCCCGTGGACATCTGGCTTTTGCCTGACCACACTCCACTGAGACTATTCTCTCCAGGTCCTTCCAGGGGACATGCTGTGTGTCCATCTTCCTCACCTCCCAGCACCTGTTCAGTATGTGGACAACCTCCCCTACTGGAAGCATCCTCGTCTCTTGTCTACCCCGTTCTCCTCACCTTCCTCTTACCCCCGGCATTAATGTGCTGGGGCTGTCAGGACAAACACCACAGACGGGGCAGCTTAAGCGACAGGGATTTATTTTCTCACAGTTCCAGAGGCTAGACGTCCGAGCTCAAAGTGCCAGCAGGGCTGATCTCTCCTGAAGCTTCTCTTCGTGGCTTGAAGGTGGCTGTCTTCACGTTCACACGGTGTTTCCTCTCTATGGATGTCTGTGTCCAAATTTCCACTTCTTATACGGTGACCAGTCATACTGGATGAGGACCTGCCCTCATGAGCTTGTTTTACCTTAACGACCTCTTTAAAGACCCTGCCTCCGGATACAGTTGCATTCTGAGGTCCTGGGGGTTGGGACTTCAACATTTGAA